AAAGTGATTGCTAATTTTGAGTTGTGCTTAGCTGCAGTGAAGTCTCTGGGAACATGTGGTAGAAAGTCGTTAGGCCCACTCAAGACCGATTGCATCAGAATATGTGTTTTCTTGTACCTTCATGTTCTGATGATGAGCGCTTTACATGGCAGCAGCCTTTTCCATAAATAATTAGGAAAACAGAACGAGGGAAGCTTTACAGTCGGAAGAAAATGTAAGAAACATCATCCCAACTGCCATGTGAAGTTTTTGTCTTAAACAAAAGAACTATAAACTCGTTTATGTGGTAAGTAAGGAAGTTAGGATGCTGATTACACAAAAGACGATAGTAAAGGACTGTAACAATTTTGCATGTGAATTATGTGGGTTTAAAAATGTTAATTAACTCACAAATTAGCACTTTTCCTTGTAGTATTTTCATACATACTTAGTTTTTGGCTGGTCCTTCAAATGCCTCTCCTGCTCCACATTTCACTACCTCCCCCCCCCTGCCACTATTCCACATGTGTTCTTTCTCCCATTCCTCTCCCTTTAGACTTCCTTTCTTCTTCCTTCATGAACCCCTTTCCAGTTTGTGACCTCTAACTACTGACTGTCACACAAATACACATATTTGGAAAGTCAGAAGCCAGGTTCTACACATGAGATTATAGACAGTATTAATTTCTTCAGTCCTGGACTACCTCAATTAATATGACCATTTGCCAGTACTATACATTTCCCTCAGATTTTATAATTTTATTGTTCTTTATGGTTAAATGTATTTCCATTGTGCATGTGTACTGCATTTTCATTATTCACTCATTGTGGGTGGACAGCTCGACTGTTGATGGAGAGCTGGGCGAGTTCCATGTTCTTGCTACTGTGAACAGACATGGACTAAGCATGGATGTGAAGTATGTCTGTGATTGGTGGATACTAAAGTTCTTTTTAGTTCTTTTGAGAAACCTCCAAACTGCTTTCCACAGTGGTTGCATTGTATTTTTTATTAAGCTGTCTGTCCTGCTTATGTATGTATATGTACGTAGTATAGCAAAGGTGATTGAAGTAAAAAGCCCACAGTTGTACTTTACAATTACAGTAACAGGAGTAAATAATTATTTCTTAATATCCAGGCACTTATGTAGGAAAATGTCAAGAATGTAGATGACAAATGTATAATGGTGAATTTACAAAATGTGTAATGTAAAATTGTTTCTGAAAATGTTCTTGGCATCAGCCATTATAGTAAGTCAAAGGCTGTGCTGCTTGAGGGATTCACACAAGAGAGGAAACTGTATTTCACCACTGATTTCATTTTGCTACAGCCCTAGACATGAGATCATTAACACTGGCAGCCATGGAGCCTTTAAAGTGCTGTGATTTGATACAGCTTATTTCCTGTAAATAAATTAACAGCTTGGTCTATGGCATCCTGCATTCTAGATGTGTGTCAGTTCACAGTAATTTTAAAAAAGAAAAGTTTTTAAAAAAACAAAAGTCAGTTTAAAAACACAAGTCACTGTGGATAATTAATATAATTTCAAGCCTCAGAGGTAGGGCTTATGGACATGCTTAGCTGTGTATTAATTGAACTACTGAGCAGTATACTCCCCTAGAACATCCTCCCAGAAGCCGCAACATATGCTGTGATTTAGAGTCATCTAGAAAGGTTTTCAGACCACTCTTGTCTAGTCTTCATGCCAAGTAATCTTGATGGATGATTTCATATGCATTAGAACTACCTAGAGGCATTCTTAGAATACAAACTGAAGCCACAAACTGTAGCCTATCCCTATAGGTGTGACTACCTCCCTCTCATTCCTCTCCCCTTCTCTATCTTCTCCCCACTCCCTTTTTCTTTTCAGTAGGACCCTGCAGTTTTCATTTTCAACAGTTACCTAAGTGAGACTGCTGTTGACTGCACTGTTTACAAACTACTGCTCCAGATTTGTCAGCTACCCAAGTCATTAGAAAATGACTGCTAAGCCGGGCAGTGGTGGCACACGCCTTTAATCCCAGCACTAGGGAGGCAGAGTTCGAGACCAGCCTGGTCTACAAGAGCTAGTTCCAGGACAGCCTCCAAAGCCACAGAGAAACCCTGTCTGGAAAAACCAAAAAAAAAAAAAAAAAAGAAAAGAAAATGACTGCTAGGGTTGAAAGTTGGTTTTGTTTGTTTTCTTTTTTCCAAGACAGGGTTTCTCTGTAGCTTTGGAGGCTGTCTTGGAACTCGCACAGTATATCAGGCTGGCTAGAACTCACAGAGATCCACCTGCCTCTGCCTCTGCCTCTGCCTCCCAAGTGCTGGGATTAAAGGGGTGCGCCACCACCACAAGACTGGATATTTATGCTGGCCCTGTAATGAAGGAAGCTTAGATTTCCAGGCTTTTGGTCCAGGTTATTATAATCAGAAAATACAAAGAAGTAGCTAGCCCATTGTTTATTTTTGTAGGCCTTCCCTTATCATTAATGCCACAAAACCAAGAGGACTGACATGAATAGTCTTTGCATCCTGACAAGAGACCTTGTTTGAAATCAGCTGCTGTGTGAGACACTGTTTACCTGAGAAATTATACAACCCCAGGTATATAGGCATGCAAACATATGTATACCTATTGCACAGTTACTGGTAATCATAAATCCATACAACCCCAGGAATATAGCTCTGCAAGCATATGTATGCATATTACACACTTACTGGTAATAGTAAGTCCATTTTGAAACAGTTACTTGGCATACATGTGCCTTTACCATTCATTAAGAAAGAAGCAAATATGACTGCTACTAAGTTGATGTGGTTGTGTGAAGAACTAAATGTTGCTGAGTCTTCGATATTATAGGATGTAAAGCATCTTCAGAGATTTTCAGAGTTTCTCTATAGTTTAATTTTATAATCATCAGTGCTGAAAGAACCATTTCACACATGGAAAGCACACTGGCAGAAATATTGTAGAGCCTTTTCTGAAATTATTAGAAATGCTGTCTTGATCTGAAGCCTAGACTCATTAAACAAGTGTTTATGAACGTCGAGTCAGCAATTCAAATAGCAGTTTTCAAAATCGAACTTTGTAGCAATGGGATCTACTGTGGGTTTTTTGTTGTTGTTGTTTGTGTTTTTGTTTTTTTTTTATTTTGATGCATACTGAAGAATGATTAGGAAAACAGTAGAAGTCTTTGTAAAGTATTGAAAGTCTTTGTCTTCCATTATGTTTCTATAAAAGCAAAAGACTCACTGCAGTTTATAATGCACAATAGTTGTGAGTCTGAGCTAAGGAATTTCAGGCAGTGACTGCCTGCATTGTGTGGTGAGAAGGCCTGCATGATGCCAAGTGTGCATGTTTTTTCCTTCAGTAATAAGGCTGCAGTGATACCAGGTGAGGGTTCATTACATATTACATTTTTAATAAATTTTTGGTTTTATTGCCAAATTTTTTGGATAACCACAGTCCTATAACCCCATACAGGGCCACAACCCACAGTTAAAGAAGCAAGACTTCGCATGCTAGTGGTATATGTCTGTAACCTCAGAGAGGAAAGTAGGTCACTGGGGCTTACTGACCAGCCAGTCTTAAGCTCTAGGTTCGGTGAGAAATCTTGTCTCAAATAAGGTGGAGAAGCAATTAAATGAGATGTTCAAAGGTGATGTTAACCTCCTCCTCCACACATGTCTGCATAGGAGAACACACCCCTCCTACACACATGCGTACACTCACACATTTCTTCTCTTCCTCCTCCTCCTCCTTCTAGCTGAGATCCTGTTATCAAACCATAGAGAGATAGAGGGAATCCTGGCAGTTAGCTGAGTGTTTCAGACACCATCTCAATGTCCTGAAGACCTGAGTGAAGGAGTTGTGTCCTTTAGTCTTCATCTCTACATAGAGATGGCATATGAACTGTTCAGCCATCTTGATCACTTGCTCCTATATACATTTCTTTTTAATTAAAAAATTTTCATACAATATATTCCAATGACACTTTCCCCCTCCTCCAGCTCCTACTAGATCCTCTCCATGCATCCAACTCTGTGCCCCCCTCTCTCCCTCTCTCTCCCTCTCCCTCTCCCTCTCTCCCTCTCTCTCTCTCTCTCTCTCTCTCTCTCTCTCTCTCTCTCTCTCTTTCTCTCTCTTTCTCTCTCTCTCGTGCATGTGTGCGCGTGCAAGAGAGGCTTTTACTATGTACAGCTGTCTTGGAACTCTGTAAACCAGGCTGACTGGAACTCACAGAGATCTGCCTGACTCTGCCTCCCAAGTGCTGTGATTAAAGACATGCACGACCACCACCCTAGCTGTCTTTCCCCCTCTCTCTCTTTCTTTACAAAACCAAATCAAACAAGCAAAAACAAGAAACACACACAAAAGACCTTTCACAAAAGTGGAAGCCAAATATACAAGTAGAAGACCAGCAAAACAAAACTTCACAGAGCAGTATGAAACAAAAATTCTAAAAAAAAAAAAAAAAATTACTGGTGAGTTCATTCTGTGTTGTCTAACTACTCCTGGGTATGGAGCCTACCCAGAAATGTTAATATTCCCAGTGAGACTCCATTCGAGAAAACTAATTTTCCTTTGCAAGCATGTATCAAATGCATTGTGTCAAGGGCTTCCTGGTTAAGGGTGCAGGCTGTATCTACTTGGTTTCTTTGTTACCGGAGGAAGCATGTGTCTACTTCCCCCTTTCAGTGCTGGGACCCTGTCTCATTTGAACCTGTGCAGGCCCTGTGTGAACTGTTACAGTCTCAGTGAGTTCATATTTGCATCAGTCCTGTTGTGCCTGGAAGAAATGCTTTCCTGGGAGTCCTCCATCCTGGTAGGCTCTTCTACTGCCTACTCTTCTGCGTAGATCCCTGCACCCGGTTCAAAAGTATTTTAAATCAACCATTCAAAAGTATTTTAAAACAACCAGGCTATATAAGGGCTAGAGTGTTACCTTTTGCTTTCAAATGTAACATTAAATGTAAAACTAATGCTTTTTTTCCTTTGCATAGAATTCAGTAAATCTTACCATTTAACTCTGTCTTTCAGGGTTTGTTCACACCTCTGCTATAATTGGTTCTGATGGCTGGTAATAAAGGAAGAGGACGTGCTGCCTATACCTTTAATATTGAGGCTGTTGGCTTCAGCAGAGGGGAAAAGTTGCCTGATGTTGTGTTGAAGCCACCACCACTGTTTCCTGTAAGTGAATTGACAGTTCAGTTTTCACAATGGATTTTTGCATGTTTTTAGGGGTTTAGGGCTTAAATACATGGTTCTATCATGATATCCTAGCTTCCTTTTCATAGCACCTGTGTCCTATTAGGCTTTTTGCTCTTCATATTTTACCTTTAATACTCAATATAGTTTGAAAACAAGTATCTCAGGTATAGGCATAGTATCTGAGTATAGTGACTACCTTCAAAATAAGGCCACCAGCTGTGAGAGTAGCTCTAAACAGTGGGAAAGTAAGCATATAGCATCACTTTTTTTTTTTTTAATAAAAGTAATTTATTAGCTAGAAGGCTGTTCCTGCCCTGGCCTTCCTCATGTTGCCAGCATTTCCTCATCACTGTCTTTCAGTAAGAGCAACATTGTCTCACATGTGGATAAGAGAAATACTAAAATTCTTAGTTTATTTAAATAGGCGTTGTCTTTTAATTTAAACAGGATACAGATTACAAACCAGTGCCCCTGAAAACAGGAGAAGATGAGGATTACATGCTGGCCTTGAAGCAAGAGCTGAGAGAAACAGTGAAACGAATGCCTTATTTTATTGAAACACCTGCAGAAAAACAAGGTATGTATTAGGCACTTTATGAGGTAATTTGGTTTTAATAGAGAAAACAGTTTGTACAACCAACTTGAAAAAAAATTACTTATCAGAAATCAAAAAGGGCAAACATTTACATTTTATTGTATGTTTTTCTTCCACGAGTTTTCTCGCTGCAAACTTACTCATACTTTGTGTCTTTCCCTTACAATGCAATAATATACTGCCTTTTAAAACATTCTTAGAAGTCTTAGAAAATACAATCTAATAGTTATGTTAATCTATTATGTGGATAAAACACTAATTATCACTAATTCCTACTGATAGAATGAAGTGTTTTTCCCATTTATTTTGTTTGTTTAGCTATGCAATGCTGTGAATATTACCACTGTACATAACTTTTTAAGGATGCCTCTGATTATTGACAGTTTAGACTAAAAAACTTTAAAAGTCTTGCTTTTAAATATAAGTTTATTGCTTATGTTCCGATGACGTAAAATATAAAATGTGTTTATTCTTGATGCTTAGGGCAGAGAGGAGGAATAACACTTTCAGAAGGCTCAGCATCTCAGACAGAGAAAAGGGAAGTGGTTTTAGAGGAAGTGAGCCTGCTCATGAATAGTTCTTAAGCACAATAAAAACGTATTGATTGTTAGAGAGATCAATATCATCTTTTGAGTTCTTAGAACAACATCATTAAAACATGAGAAATTTGTATAGCATCAGCTCATGCCATTAGTATTAAAGCTGTTTTTTTTTTTTTTCTTTGTTTCTTTCTAAGAGACTTGCATTGGCTGAGTCAAAAAAGGAAGTATATAGATGATAGTGTTACATGTCTTCATAAGAAGCATGTTGGACAAGTTTAATCTCAATGACTTATGTGCTTGAGTGTATAGAATGGTTTGATCAATTTTCCTTCAGAAATAAAGGATTTTTTTAATTTTTATTTTCTTGATTTTGTTGCATGCTTTTGTCTGGATTTAAACATAAAATCAAATTTTATATGTTTCAGAAATCAACTAATAAATACTCATTTTTATTTTAAAAATTAACAGTGCATGGTATATTTTAATCCTACTAAAATTTGACTTTTTCCTAGATAGAAGACATGTTTAGCTAATACAGTGTGTTTATTAAAATGCATGACTAACTGAAAAGTTTACCAGCTCATTCAAGCAGTTATATGAGCCTTTCTTTTAGATAGGGTCATGTTTTTTATGACTGTTCTATTGTTGTGAGGTGATACCATGAGCAAGGCAGCTTTTACAAGAAAGCATGTAATTGGGGGCTTGCTTGCAGTTTCACAGAGTTAGGTCATGGTCAATATGGTGGCAGTCAGGCATGACACTGGAGCTGTAGCAGAAAGCTCACAGCTGATCCACAAGTTTCAGGAAGAGAGAGAGCAAAAGGGAGCTTTGAAAACCTCAGAGCTTATCCCAATGGCATATCTCTTCCTCCAACAAGGCCACACCTCCTAACCTTTCCAGAGTTCCATCAACTGGGGACCAAGCATTCAAACATATAAGCCTATCAGGCCATTCTCACTCAAACCACCATAATTATTAAGAACCAGTTTTTAGTATGTGGGAGTAAGTGTCTTGAATCAGGATCAAGGGGGTACTTTATCCTTGATAAATATAATATAATCAATATATTTGTAATATATATAATGTAATGTATAATTTGTAATAATATAATGTATATTATATAATAAATATAATGTAATCAAATATAAAAAGATACTTATTTGTGTAATCCCACAAGAAATTCTATATAGGATTTTTCACATTGATAGAAATAAAAACTCTTCATATCGTACTATCTGCTTCTATTTCCTGATATGGTGTGGTTTAAAAGCACTATGATTCAAATACAGTTTTAAATATATGTGTGCATTCATATGTATGTGTAGAAGCACACACAGCTTAGCAGTCTCTTCTCTAACAATGGGTAATATCTTCCAAGACATCTCCCAGCGTATGCCCAAAACCACAGACAGTACCTAAGCCTGTATACCAGCACTGTGGTGCCATCATTGATGACTGAGCATGTGACATGGGGATGCTGGACAAAGGCATGGGGCATACAGCATACTATGCATCTGTATGCAGACTTTTTGGGTAAGGGCTATTTTGGGGGTTGCCTGGCAAAGCTGACAAACCAGAAGCAAGACACAGCCATAGCTCCGCTGACCCCAGCAAGTTTGAGATAGAGCTTTAAGTAGTTTGTAGAAGGCTTACAGCTGACACACTTGGTGCCCCAAACAAGTAACCTCTCAGCACACTCAGTTTTCTTATCTCTATCCTTCTTCCCTGTTCTGAAATACACACAGTCTGATGATGTGTATATGAAACACTAGAGGTGAACCATTAGTCCTTCACTCCACTAAGGTACTGATATACCACAATGAGACACAGTTAGATCGGAGGCTGGAGGCAAGGAGTACAAGAACAGAAAACACTGACTATACCTTTGTGTGGGAGTGGCTTCCTGATCCGACTCTGAACTTCACAGGCTAGGCAGGCTGTCTCATTCTGTGAACCAGGTTCAAGGCTGATGTCTCTGCTTACCCCACCCTTGCTCTTGACACATTTGTAACCGTGTTACTCAACTGAACTTGTCAATACTGGTTCCATTACATATGTTATATACAAATGTAGGAAATATATGAAAATGAAAGACTGTCTGGTGGTGTGAACTATTTTAAAGAATAGCTTATGTTTTATGTTTCTAATGAATGCTTTTTCTTTTTTAACCCTAGATGATATTGAAAGGTATAGTAAACGATATATGAAGGTATACAAAGAAGAATGGATACCAGGTATTATAAATCAGACCATGCTAAAATGCTTTCTAAAAAGATTTCATCTTAGTTTTTTTGTTTGTTTGTTCTGTTTTTAATGGATGTTTGTGTGTGTGTCTATGTCATGTTTGTGAGGGTTCCATTAAGACCAGAGGAAGGAGTCAGATATGCTGTGGCTCCAAGCTGAAGCAAGAGCTCTTAACCACTGAGCTGCCTCTCCAGCTCCTTAAAATATATATATTACATATAAAATATACTATATATATAATATACATATAAAATATATGCTATATGTGTATATATACACATGTGTGTGAGTGTGAGTGAATAGGACTTGCTAGTTAGATTTTCATTAGCCACGATCACAGTTTTAATTTGTAATACAAAAAGCACTTGGTTTTTACTTCCTAGTTGATTTTAGAGTTTCCCTGTTTGTTGAGACACCATTTACCCTATATAGTCCATGCCAGCCTAGAATTGCTGATCCTCCTGACTCAGCCAGACCAGTCTTTTAGATTTTAGGCTTTTTGCTCCATTTTGTTGACAGGGTCTCATGTATCCTAGGCTGACCTTTGATCCTTCTGTGTCCTGCGCTGGCCTGCTTTATCTCAATCAGTTTTCTGTGGGGCCGGGTGTTGAATTTAAGGTTCCTCCTTCGTGGAGTAATCTTACCAAATGAAGTGCATCCCAACCCCAGATTTGAGACTTTTTAAGGAGAAAGTCAATGCCCAACTTGAAGGATATTTTAAACCAAGCTTGTGAGTAAAGCTTTCTGTTATTCAAGGACACATGGGCAAGTTTTAGCTGCTAACATTCTGTTTCAGTAGGAAAATACCTGATGGCTTCTGTTAGCATTCAGAAGTATTACAATGGAGGGGCTTTAGAGGAAATGTCATTCAGCCAGTTTATTTTGTAAACAGAAAACAGTTGCCATAGAAACAAAGTAACCCATCAGTGTTTCTTACAAACACTGCTGTCCCTCAGGATTTCATCCTTTTGTATCTCTGACAGTAATGTTTATAGAAACTTCCCTTAGGAAAATGTGCAGACATCATCAGCTGTATCATCATTTTCCAAGGACAGTGTACGCCTTCCCTGTTGATCTTAAGATGTGGGGTAAGGGTGGAAACCCTCTCCCAAATCATTCCTTTTACATGTTTTCTCGTGGTCTAAGTAGTTTGAAACTAAAATATATTCAAAGCAAAATGTATAATTTCAGGTAAAATTATGAAAGTTTGTACAAATACTCTGACATTTCTTTATTAGCAGCCAATATCTTTAAATCTTTTTTGAATATTTCAAAATGGTAACCTATGTATTTGTGTTGTGTGCACATGAGTATATGTGTATGATTACACCACATGTATGTAGGTGCCTGTGGAGGCCAGAAGAGGGAATCAGATCTCCTGGAGCTATATATGGCTGTGAGCCATCTACCATAAATGCTGGAAACTGAACTCAGGTCCTCTGGAAAAACAAGTGCTCTTACCACTGAGCCATCTCTCCAGCTCTTTTAGCTCTGTGTTTACATAGCTTCAGTTTTATATCTATCTCTGTTATTAAAAAGTAAAATGGGGGTAAGGATTGTAGATTATTTGCCTATGAGGCGCCAAGTCTAATTCCTAGCACCCTCCATATAATTCCAAGCAAGTAAATAATTAAAGGACTTGTTTAGTTATTGCAACTGAAAGTCATTTATTGGAGAGAATTTACATGTTCATAGCTACTATGTTTTTAATTGAAAAATTTCAAATAATTATTAAAATTATCTTATGTTATATGTATTGGGTTCAATTACATCCCTTAACTTTTGAAAAAAAAATTGTTACAACTTAATGTAGCCAAATAATATCTAACAAAAACAGTTGTGATCTTGATCTTAACATCCATAAGAAATTTGCATAAGATTTCTTTCCAAGGCTCTTTATTGAAACATTTCAAAGCTGTTTAATGAGCTATTTTTCTTTATGGGAGAAACTGTGTTACTGTGCAGTTCTATTTGTATTTGTTTTGTTATGTTCCAAGCTAAATTGGTACAGTCAAACTCTGAGAAATTTTGCTATCTTTGCATGAACAGCTGCCATTAAAGCTGCTCTTTAAACAGTTAGGTCCAGAGCCACACAGGAAACTGAGATTTTTATTCTTTCTTTTGTACACACAGACTGGAGAAGACTTCCCAGAGAGATGATGCCAAGGAAAAAATGCAAGAAAGGTACACTGACTAACATTACTGTAGTCCAGGGTGGAAACAGTTGTTGCTTAAACTCTATTAATACAGAAATCAACCTGCAGTTCTCCTCAGTATTGTAAAGTCTTTCTCATGAAGTATGTCTGGCATGCTTATTATTGTACTATAGCTTGGTTGCTGTTGACATTTGGACCTTCTTGACTTCATCTCATTGACAGTTGTTGGCTGTTGGGGGAGGAGAGTCTGTTTTCTTTAAGGATGTGGCCACCGGTAGGTCTTGACTTGACTCAGTGGATTACTGAAAAAAGGAGGACAGAAAGGTGGGAAGGAGAATGAGAGTGGATTCAGGAGGAGTTAATAGGAGGAGGGAAGATGAATAGGAGCAAAATACATTGTATGTATGTATAATTTTCAAAGAATTAATGAACTATTTAATATTAAAAAGGAAGACATAACTGTACTAGGAAAGATTTAGGAGCCGATAAAATAGAATTTTATGTTATATAAAAGGATACCAAAGTGTATATTTTTGTTTGTTCTTTATTAATTCCATTCAATAAATAATCGAGTGTCTGCTATTGCCAGACACTGTGCCACAATGAACAGAGCCCATGTAGATGGAACTGCCCTTGCCTCCTGGAGGAAAAGTCAGAAAGGGGCTGGGGAGATGGCTCAATCAGTCAAGTACGTGCTGCTCAAGCATGAGATCAGATCTTCATCAACCACATAAAAGCATTCAGTACAGCTGCAGGCACCTGGGAAGCCCCCCATGATCTCCAGGATCAGTGAGACACTATCATCTAAAATAAGATAGTGCACTATTGAAGCCAGTGACTGTTGGCCTCCAAGTGAGCACCCACAGGTTCACACACATTCATATACAAGCAACAAGACATGAAACAAAACCATATGTCCTTTTGGGAAGTCTGGGGAAGGTTTTGAGGAAGCATGTCTGGGGTGGCCATTGAAGGTGGTTGGGTGCCTACTAGGATACATAGTGGGAGGGGTTTGGAGAAAGACAGGCTGATATGTGAAATCACTAGTTTGGTTCAGACTTGGTATTTGTTGTTGCTTTGAGATACACCTAGAGTGTTGTCTGTGGCAATGGAGTGGTGTGGACCTGTGAAGGGAGACTGTGCTTATCATCACAGGAAGGAACCTAGAGATCAGGAGAACTGATAAAACAGTCAAGGGGAAATTAGATCATCAAAAGAGTAGGACCACAGTCTGAATATGTAGGAATTGCATAACTTAAAGAAATGGTGAAGAGGATTAAATCAGCAAGGAAAGGAAGCAGAGAGAGAGGAAGACAAAGCTGGGAGAGCAGCTGGAGGAGTGTGCACAGCAGGGGAGAGGCCTTCAATGAGGCTGCTGTCAGTAAGGAGGCAAAGCAATACTGCTCAAGGGAGTTGAAGATTCAAAGTCTTCTTGCTTTTAGAGATTTTCTTTCCATTTGTATGTATATGTGAGCTCCTAAGTGTGTTTGTCATTTTTGTGTGGGTACTGGCTGAGACCATAAAATGGTTTTGGGTTGTCAACTGGAGGTGGCTGTAAGCTTTCTGATGTGGGTGCTGGGAACGAACGGAATTCTGATGTCTAAATTAGGGTTTCCATTGCTGTGAAGAAACACCATGACCATGGCAACTATTACAAAAGAAAATACTTAATTGGGGTGGCTTAGTAATAGTTTTAGAGCTTCATACATTAATCTAGGGATGGCTTCTGTTGGCAAGGATTTCCATTTGTTGAAAAGCAAATCAACAATTAAATTCTCTTTACCAGTTTGGGCTAATATTTTTAATTGTACACAGTATAGTTTTTTGTTTTTTATCCTCCCTTTTGTGATGGCCTCCATTGATCTACACGAAAGTAGCGATAGAGGACTCTAGGGTGGCAGAGGTATGTTGAGGAAGCAGCTTCTAACAGATACTGAAAGAAACAAGTTCAAGGATGTGCACATATGAAAAAGATGCTAACTATGGAAAATTTTCATGTCAACGTTTTAGGATAAAAATCATCTTTCTGTAATATCGGTGATGTGATACTTCTCCCCTGAATGTGAGTGTGTGTTCATGAATTTAAGTATTAAAACCAAAATAAAGAAAGATGAGTGGTATAGAATCTGGGACTCTTGGATTTTAGTAAGGAAATTAGTAACTATGGGCCTGAAAAGATGACTTGGTGGTTAAGAGTCCTTCCTGCTTGATTAGAGGACCAAAGTTCATATCCCAGCACCCACATCTAGTGACACATTAGTGTAAATCCAACTGACACCCCATTCTGGCTCTCTCTCTCTCTCTCTCTCTCTCTCCTCTCTCTCTGTGTGTGTGTGTGTGTGTGTGTGTGTGTGTATGTGTGTGTGTGTCTGTAACTTCAACTCCAAGGGATTTGATACTCCATTCTGCCCCCCCACCTCTCTCTCTCACACACACACATGAATATAAAATATTTAAAATAAAATTAGTAATTTTTCTATGTGTATTTAGCTGATCAGTTTTTGTAGTATTCACTTAATTGTTGTATATATCATGAAATTTCATACAAAGTCCTTAGGAAAAAAGACTGTGTGGTATGAACAAATTATATTTCTAGCTAATAACTGTTGGTGTCTGTGTTACAGTACTTACTGAGATATTATTCATATGTGATACTGTTCTTTTGAAGGAATGGCTTCCCTTTTGGCAGCCATAACAGCCTTAACAGCCATAACAGTGCTTGCCATAAACCTGCCTTGGTCACTTAGAAGTCAGATGCCTACCTCGTGACAAGGAACCTTAGTCACTAGAAAGTCAGATGCCTGTCTCGTGACAAGGAACCAATCAGAAGTTAGCTGGTGGCGCTATGCTTTACGACCCTGGGTGTGCTTTACGGACAAGCGCACAGCAATGACGTAGAGAGCATAGCAACCACCCTGGGAGGGCCTATTGGCCATAACAACCAGTTGACCAATCAACACAGGGCAAGCCCTCCAAGCCTGGAGGCACACCAATCGTGAGCCTGTGCGTAAGCCTGTGCGTACCCCTAGACACTCCCTTTACGCTGCCCTATAAGATCTTTTGGGAGCCCCTAGGAGCCGTCTTTTCTAGCTATCCGCCATGGCGGGTGGGTGAAAGACCGAGCTAACATGGGGTTAGCTCGTTAAATTACAATAAAGCCTCGTGCAGTTTGCAGCAAGCTCTCGAATCCGCCTGGTGATTAGGGTGACCGCGAACGTGGCCTGGGACCCCGGATACTTGAGTTTTCGGGGGTCTAACACTTTGAGTACTTATTGAACAGTCCTTGACTTCCAGGAGGGCAACAAAAGTTATAAGTTGTACATCATTTGATATGTTAGGTTCCTTTTTATTATCCAAACTGAATTTGGTTTAACATGATAGATTTTAAGCCCACCAGATAGCTATAAGTCATCCAAGCAGTCTAAAGGTTACTTCTACGTGTCCAATGTTCATCTTTAACACAATTAAGTCTTTCTGAGTCCTATTTCTGCTACCTAGCATTTTTTTTTGATATTGGTATTGGTATTGGTTCAATTTTGGCAAAGAACTGTTATCATTCCTCCTCATCATTAAAAACCGTTACAGCCTATAACAATTCCTTGGTAATTGGCAGAATCTTCATATGAAATAATCCACTAATCCCTGATGTTTTAGAATAACCCCAAAATGAAATATTTTGCATAGAGTAAAACAATTATGGGTTCTAAAGCCACTGAAACATGTCATTTCATGTATGTGAAGAGACAAGCAAAACATTTTAATCTCCACTGAAGACAGTTCTTGTGACAAGCTCTTTCATACCCCTGTACCATTAGCCACTGCAGGTTTACCCTGCTCTTCTCTTTGTTTCACCCCTGCTAAGCACTGGTTCTGTTAAAATGGACTCTACTGACCAGTGGGAGAAACACTTGGAGGACCTCCACTTGTTATAGTGCCTCAGTCTGAAGCCACCAGATAGCAGATTTTGTCTCTAATGATATTAATTGTGAGACTAATGTTTCAGTACTTAGTTAAAATATACTTGGTTGTTGTAGTCATTAAAAAATGTCGTGTGAAGTGATTACCATTTGTTTAGAGCTTGTTGATGTGTGGTGATCTTGTGGGAGGAGTTTAATTTGCACTGGAAATGATGTGACTGTAGAGGATGCTGCAAGGGTGTGGTCAGGGTGATGTAGGGAAAGTTGAAGAAGGAGGGAGGTTGATGTGGTGGACTTTGCTTTCGCTTTCATCTTCGGCTTGCTGTACTTACTGCTGCCCACCGGCTGGGCTGGGTCTTTCTGTAAGGCTTTTCCCTATTAAATTCCCTTGTATTTCTCCTGGTTCCGTATTGCTAATTTCCCACATTAACTGTCTGGTATGGGGAGTGCTGCATGGGAGCTTGGAGGTCCCAGCTGTCCCTGTGGAAGATCTGTTAACAGCTGGTTATTTCCTTGCAGCGGATCCAAAATCCAAAACAGCCAAAGCTGCAGACAGAGGTCCTTCACTCACTAACTCTGCAGATGTGTTGAAAAAAATTGAGGTAAGATTGTAGTTATGAACATGAAAAAAATATAAAAAGCTATACTTCTACTCTCTTTCAGCCTTCTCTTTTTAATAATGCAGAGTTGGAAGAAGAGAGGCCAGCACTTAAGTTAGGTGTAGAGGAAAGAGCCCCCTGAGGTGGAGCATGAGTGGGCCCCTGCCCTACCATCTTCCCTGAACTGTCGTCTTTCCTTCTTCCTTTGCAAACACCACCCACAACCCCAGGCTTTCTTTTTACTGTGTCCTTAATGCCCCCTTGTATGAGATTGGGACATGCAAGAGGAGGAAAAGCTGGTACTCTATGAACTTATTCTCTTATCATTAAGCAAAAGAAACAAAACAAAATAAAATTTAGGTTAGTACCTTAAAAGTACATTCTCTCATCTCTATTCATACCATTTATTTTCTTTGTTTTTAAGCTCCAAAACTACACATTTCTTATATATCCTTTCAGAAATATTTTAGTCATAAAAATACAGAACTTTCCCCCATAATTTTTCATCTTTAATAATTATTTTATTACTTCATGTGTGTAAGTGTTTGGCCTGCATGTATGTATGTGTATCACATGAGTGCCTGGTGTCCATGGAGGTAGAAGCAGGGCTTAGATCCCCTGGGACTGGAGTTAGGAAATCTGGGCCCTTTCTGCAAGATCGATGGGCTCTTAACTGCTGAGCCAAGTACCCAGCCTGAATCCCTCAATTTTAATAACACAGATAGTATGTCACATTTCTGCATTTTTGTCTTATTGCTTAATAAAATGTCATGAACATGGTTCCATTCCTAACTATAATCCTAGCCATAATCATAACCTAACCCTAACTCTAACCGAAGCCTAACGTTAATCCTAATGCCAACCCTACCCTATCCCTCTTTTTATTGGCAGCACTGTTAGAGTGAACCATAGTTACTTAATAACTTCATTAATCCTCCACTGAAGAATACTGTTTCTTCTAATATTTTGCTATTATAAATAATACTGTGACTTTATAATAAGTTTGTCATTTCATGGAGTAGTTTTTAGAAATAGATCTGTTGGGTCAATTATTTTCTGTATTGTAGGAAACAATTGATGATTGGCACATTGATCTCCATGGTGGTTATACCATGGACTCCCTTGTATTAGTTCACATTGATGATGGTAATTACAGTCACGCTTAATGAGAACTTGTACTTGCCAGGCAATTTGATGAGCTCTTTATATGCTCTGTCCCCAAGAGCATGTACATAGCAGAGGGGTAAGTTGTTTTATTCCTTACTTACAGAAGAAAGTCAATGGTTTAAGTATGATCTTGATGACCTCCTTGGCACATCTGCTTGATAGAAAGCTCCTGGGTTTACTGTTATAGTTTTGGAACAGTATTTGAGCTGATTATAATATTGGAAAGATCAATGAAGGAATAGCAATAACTGTCATGTTTAACTAGGTGGAATAATAGGTGGGATTTATAGACCACAAATTGTGCCTGCTCGTACAGTTTGGAGTTCTATAAGATGCTAAGTGCTCTGTAGTGCTTCCGCTGTGCTTTCTCCTTAGGACAAACTGCTTCGTTGTTTCTTATATTTACCACCTTTTCCAGAACATTATAAACAGAGGTCTTAGTGCGTGTATGGTTTTAACAGAGCAATGGGTTGTCCCTGGTTGTCGACAACACAAGCAGCTTCATGTTTTCTTCTACCAGCATCTCTGGATGGAGGTAGCCAGCAGCATTAGGTCAAGTCTTACAAGCCATCCTGTGGTAGCAAAGAGAGATGCATGCTTTATTTCTGCATTCCACAAGGGAGGGTCCTTGCCACATAGTGTCTATACTAGAAGACTTCAGTTTGGCTGAAGTTCTTTATGGCTTTCATTTGGGTGTATGTGGTAAAGATAAAGATGGAGCTGTTTGCTTAACTTAACGCTATTTGATTTGGCAACACTAGAAATACAGATTCTCTGGTCTTTACACCATATTGAATGAATGCTGTACTTTCAAAAATATAGGTTTGTGGTTTGTATTTGTTTTTGTTTTTAATAAAACTATTTAGTTTATAATTATGAAATAATTAGTGGCTGTCTTTCCAGATCACAGAATATATTTTTCACAGAGTAAAATAAATTATATAATTGAATTTAGCTATAGGCCTTGTTACTTACGATTTAGTTAAATTAGAAAATGCACAATACCTTATATTAATTAATATTAATGTAGCATCGTGAGTGTGTCAGATATATCAAAGGTTTGTGAAAATTTTGTTCACTTGAGATTTTCCAAGAAAATTGACAGTTGAGAAATTGTACACAAGGTATTGCTGTAATAACTGCCAAGGCAACACAAGGTTTGATTTTAATTTGGTCTGCTTGAGTGAGGTGAGTTGCAAGCAAGATAGCTTGATTTATTTAAAAATTGAGTATTATGTGCTTAAGAGGTGGCTCAATAGATAAAGCATTCACTGTGCAACCATAACAACTGCAGCTCCAAGCCCCAGCATGCACACAACGTCAGGTGAGCCTGTAGCTACCTATAATCCCAGCACCTGGGAAACAGAGAGAAGGGATCCCGAAGGCAAGCAACGGGCTGCCAAAACTAGCCAGAACCCGTTTTACTAAATTAAATGGAGAGTGACTGAGGAAGATATCCAATGTCAGCTTCCAGTCTTCACATGCATGTCTACACACACGAACATATTAATGCACACCCGTGCATTCACACATATACAAACATTCAAAGGTGATCCATTTAAATTGGGTCTGTTTAATGTGGCCTTTTCTTTGCCTTTGATTTTCTTCACTTAAAATTGGAATTAAAATAATTTTTTGTTTGTTTTGTTTCGGTTTTGGTTTTTCAAGACAGGGTTTCTCAGTGTAGCTTTGGAGCCTGTCGTGGAACTCACTCTGTAGACCAGGCTAGCCTCAAACTCACATAGATCTGCCTGCCTCTGCATCCCAAGTGCTGGGATTTTAAAAGAATTTTTAAAGTAAATATTTAGGGAGTTAAAGAAGAGCTAAGTTGAAGTTATTCTGGATGTAAAATAGCTTTTCTTGTTCATGAGTAATTGACAAAGTCTTAAAGAGAGATGGAGAATGCCTACACATTTTTATTAGTTACTCTTCTAATTACTGGGTTAAGACCAATCAGAAATTAGTCATGTGAAGCCTAAATTATGAAGATGCAAAATGATTATTGTACCCAGCTCCCAGAAAACCTGTGAAATTCTGTCCCTTATGTAAAGTGAGGGTCATCTAACTTAGTGAACTGAGAGCAACAGAAATAAAAATGGGTCACCTTTGTCAATTGAAAAAAAAAAATGGCAGTCATGAGGTGTTTATAAAATTCAAATTGTGAGGTTGTGGCATGGTGAGTTTTCAAGTATCAATAGAATCATCAAGACTCCCCAACTCTGTTTCTCTTCCTTATTTCTAGGATGGCTCATAATGGCTGGTGTGTTCACTTACTTTCGTTTTAATCCCCTTTTCACAACCTTCCAGATGTATCACGAAGCAGAAAATCTTGGGAATGGGAAGTAATGAAAGACAAAGGAGATGGGAAGGGGATAAACTAAATCATGCCACACATTTTAGGAGGAGGTAGGATAGGAAACATGAAAAGCAAGCATTGTAGATTAGAATTCTAACCCCAGGTTAGCAAAGCCCAATGATTAAGTCACAAAATTGAAGAATGGGACAGCATGGTGGGTGACCTTTCCTTGAGTTTCTGAGGTGGGAGGCTGGCAGGCGTGTGTTAATTTAGGATTAGCCTAAAATGATCCATAATTCTTCTCTTTGGGCTGGGTATGTAAGAATAGTTGTTTCAGTGGAAATTAATGAATCTCCCTTTACCAGGAACTAGAAAAGAGAGGCGATGGTGAAAAATCGGATGAAGAGAATGAAGAGAAAGAAGGGAGCAAAAAGAAAAATAAAGATGGCGATGACGACGATGATGATGATGACAATGATGAAGCAGAGCAAGAGGAGTACGATGAAGAGGAACAAGAGGAGGTAAAAGTCTGAGGATGATGAGAGCTGCTCCCTAACTTCAGAGATATCCTATGGCATGGAATGTCAGTCAGCATACAAAACCACGCCTGTAATACTAGCAAACTCAAGAATAGGGTGCGAGGGGTTTGAGGAGCTGGGGCTACAAGGTGAGACCTTGTCACAAACACAAAACCCTAAGTTTATTGAACCAAAAATGCATTCTTATCCTGGCATCAGGTGCTTGGTATGAAATGATAGTAATACAAAATGAAAACCAGCAGATAAGAGTAACTTGATTGACAGCTTTTGCAAGTAAGGAATTAAGGAAATTGATGAGAGTAGTACAGTTCATACTTACCAACATAAGAAGCTAAGACAGCAGCTGAGGTACCAAAGGGCATAGGCACATACGTCTAGAAGGAAATCCCAACAAGGCCATCATGTCTCAAATTCCCAAGTTCATGTGGACAGAAGCAGTGTGACAGCTGCCGAGGTATTGGTAAACTAGGTTGCTTCACTTCAATTTTAGAATCAATATTTTTTCTATTTTTTTCACCTTTTTGTGATGTCTATAGTTCTCTTTCTACTGTTTTGTATATCTGCATTTAACATATTTAATCTCTTGTTGATCTCGTTCTTTGCTTTACAGAAGCTTCTCAGTTTTCAGAGGTCCATTTATTAATTGTTGCTCTCAGAGTCTGTGCGACTGCTGTTCTCTTTAGGAAGTGGTCTCCTGTGCCTATGCGTTCATGTGTATTTCCCACTTTCTCTTCTATGAGGTTCAGTGTGGATGGATTTATATTGAGGACTTTGACCCATTTGGATTTGAGCTTTGTTCGTAGCGATAAATACGGATCTTGCGTTCTTCTACCCATTGACAGCCAGTTATACAACACCATTTGTTCAATCTATTTTCTTTTTTCCATTTTATATTTTTAGCTTCTTTGTCAAAAATTAGGTGTTCATAGGTGTGTGGGTTGATATTGGGGTTTTCGATTCAATTCCTTTTGTCTACCTGTCTATTTTTATGCCAATACCAAGCTTTTCATTTTCATTACTATAGCTCTATAGTAGAGCTTGAAATCAGGGATAGTGATGCCCCCAGATGATCCTTTATTGTACAGGGTTGTTTTGGCTATCCTGGGTTTTTGTTTTTCCATATGAAGTTGAGTATTGTTCTTTCAAGGTCTGTGAAGATTTATGCTGGGATTTTAATGGGGGTTGCATTGAATCTGCAGATTACTTTTGGTAGGATTGCCATTTTTACTGTGTTGATCCTACCTATCCAAGAACATGGGAGATCTTTCCATTTTCTGATATCTTCTTTAATTTCTTTCTTTAAAGACTTGAAGTTCCTGTCATACAGGTCTTTCACTTAGTTGGTTAGAGTTACACCAAGGTATTTTGTTATTTATGGCTATTGTAAAGGAGATGTTTCTGATATCCTTCTCAGCCCATTTGTCATCTGTATATAGGAAAGCTACTGATTTTTTTTTAGTTAATCCTGTATCCTGTTACATTATGGAAGGTTTTTATCAGTTGTAGGAGTGCTCTGGTAGAATTTTTGGGGTCAGTTATGTATACTATCATATCATCAGCAAATAACGAGAGTTTGACTTCTTCTTTTCTAATTTGTATCCCTCTGATCTCCTTTTGTTGTCTTATTGCTATAGCTAAACTCCAAATACTATGTTGAATAGATATGGAGAGAGTGGACAGTCTTGTCTTGTTCCTGATTTCAGTAGGATCACTTTGAGTTTCTCTCTATTTAGTTTGCTATTGGCTGTTGGGTTACTGTACATTGCCTTTCTTATGTTTAAGTATGTTCCTTGTATCCCTATTCTCTCCAAAACTTTTACATGAAGGGGTGTTGAATTTTGTCGAATGTTTTTTCAGCATCTAGTGAGATGATCATGTTTTTTTCTTTCGGCTTGTTTATATGCTAGATTACATTGATGGATTTTTGTATGTTGAACCATCCCTGCATCTCTGGGATGAAGCCTACTTGGTCATGGTGAATGACTTTTCTAATGTGTTCTTGAATTCAGTTTGCCAGTATTTTATTGAGTAGTTCTGCATCTAGTGTTCATGAGGTCTGTAGTTCTCTTTCTTAGTTGTGCCTTTGTGTCATTTCAGTATCAGGGTAACTTTAGTCTCATAAAAAATGTTTGGCAATGTTCCTTCTATTTCTATTGTGTGGAATAATTTGAGGAGTATTGGTATTTGATCTTCTTTCAACAAAGGATCACAGTGGAGTTCTCTAGGGCCTTAAATGTCAGGCTGAGAAATCTGACTATCTTTTCATGCTACAGTAAGCCACTAAAGGATTTTTAAATGTAGAATGTTAATTATATTGCATTTTGGAGAATTCACTTGCTGACATTGGGTCATATTTGAAAATTTCTTACCAATTATTACTTCAAAGCCACTGGCTCAGTGAGTAAAGGTACCTGATGAGTTTAACCTCCAGAACTCACATGAGGGAAGGAGAGAATGGACTTGGAAGTTGCTCTTTGACCTCTACATGCACACCATGGCATGCATGCATGCCCCCCCACACACACAATAAATAAATGTTAATATAATCATTTATAGTAATATATAGAGCCATTTCTGGTTATCACAACAGGGATATTAGGAAGGTTTTATTAAGTTTGGATGTTAGATGCCAGTATTCTAGACAAGGCTGACTTTTATACTGCTCTTTTATATGGTGTGTGTGTGTGTGTGTGTGTGTGTGTGTGTTGAGAGAAGACCTACTCTGTTGGCAGCTTGTTTGAAACTTACTATACAGCACAGCGTGGCTTCAAATTTGCAGCAGTCCTGCATCTCAGCTTCCCATGTATTAGAATTTTAAGTCTGAGCCACTATGCCCAGCTCTGAAATGCTATTTTGATAAAAATCAACCTCCACTGAGTCTAGACCATGAGTGTTAAAATTAAAAATTCATGGGCTGTGGTGGTAGAGTGAACCTTTAATTCCAGAGCTCTCAATTCCAAGCCAGCCTAGTCTACATAGAGTTTCTAGGCCAGGTAGGGTGATACAGTCATATTGTAATGTAGTGAACAAACCAACAGGTTTTGGTAGTTAAGAGCTGTGAATTGGGCCCCAGGAAAGTAGTACACCAGAGAGTGGGTTTAAATTAGTAAAGTTATATATCTGTATTTTATTAAAAAGCAAAACTACAGAGAAATGAGGTTGAGGGAGGGACTGAAAGTAAGCTCCCTTAGAGGTCTTCTCATATTTCATTTTGGTGAATAAAGTGTAATATGTCATCTGGTAACACATGTTAAAGACAATACTTCTCTTTTGATGTTTTGGATATTTAGTTTAAGCAGAAAGCTGGAACCCAGTGGAGAGCCTAGAGCCACCCAGGCTGTTGATCTCAGCAGGCTCCCCAAAACATCCCTGCTTCAAGATTGCTAACAGCTCAGTGTGAGCATCTGAGTCACTAAACATACTTGGAATAAGTCTGAAAGACAAGTGCCTCTTGTTTGATTGGGAATGGCAGGGTTCCTCTTTCTCTTCCTTGCTTTGTGTATGAATTTGTTTACTTATATCTCCTTACATGCATAGAGCCAAGGCCTTATTTACTGTGTAGCTTCATTTGAATGCTCTGCCATTTACCCCTCTCCTAGTAAAAAGGCCCCAGGCTTCAGCTTGGTTTCTGGACGTTTGTGGAGTTCTTGGCATCGGAGAAGCTAGGCCAACTTTATGGCACTACAAGGGGCTTGTGTTGGATGCACAAACTCGCAGGATTTAGGGAAGACAAAGTATTCTAAAATACACAAACCTGCACATACATTCCAGATGTTTAAAAAGAAAACCTATAGGATAAAGCTGGTATTCAGAAAGCTTTCTTTTGAGACTGTCATCTGTTTCTACTGTAAATAGTAGAGATGTAGAGATAGGGGGTGGGGTTGGGGTTGGGTCAGAGGCAAGACAGGGTCTTGCTGTGTATGTAGTCCAGGCTGGCCTTGAAGTCTGCAGCTCTTCCCCTCAATCCTCCTAATCCTTCCAGGTGTGAGTCACTATGGCTCTTCACTGCATAGCTAATTATCCAATGATTTTTTTTCTTACATACATCAGATCCCTGCTTGTCCACCCTTGTCCTTCCTTCCCCCAATCTACCCTAGATCACAGATGAGCCCTTAGCATTGTACTGTTTCAATTCATCCCTAAGTATCTCAGTGTGGACACAAACTTAGGGCTCTTCAACATCACAGTATCATGGGAATCAATATGATCCAGTATCTAACTACTTTTAAATTCCCCTGAAAAAAAAAACAAACTTTATTACAATCCATATAGACTTCATATGTAGCAAGTAGCTGAGAAGTCTTGTTCTGTATTCAGATGGGTTTTGAAGTTTTGATAGAAGGCACGCATGTCTTTTGACTCATTTCCAGGCATGGTAGTCTTACTCAGCTACAACTGAAACATTGCCAGAAGCTGAGAGGAATGTGGAAGGATTCAATGCGGTTTCCATGGGTTGGGTTGGAAGGAGATTGTACTTTGATAGGAAATGACAGTCCTTCTGATGACGCTGTTACACTTTGACCTCTTGCCTGGGCTCTGAGGCAATGTAGACTATTGATGAAAACACTTATTTCTTGGTAGTCAATGCATTGTGGAATAAATAATCAGTGTCTCAGCTCCTAACACCCCCGAATCACTCCACCAAGGAGTGCTGCACTGGGCATCGCCGCTTCGGTAGAAGCGCAGCCCTTTCTGTGCTCTTAGCTGGTTAGCACCTGTGCACTGTAAGTAGTACTGGGAAGAAAGTGGAGCAGGTAGAAACGTATGGAAACCGCTCTTTAAAAGCAGAGCTGTCACAAGCACAGGCTTCCTCTTCAAGTCTTCTGTATTTTCTTTTTTTTAACCTCAATTTGGTATTTATAAACTAAAGAGATGTTATTTTTTTGTATGTTGTATTCTAAAATGTTTCTAGTTCACTTTATTGATTTAAGTACTATATCCTTTCACTTAGGAAAATGACTACATTAACTCCTACTTCGAAGATGGAGATGATTTTGGTGCAGACAGTGATGACAACATGGATGAAGCAACCTACTAGCCATGGGATTTCTCTCTCTCTCTCCTCTCTCTCTCTCTCTTTCTGGTACAGCTTCAAGCATTTGGATTTGACTTACTTTACTTCTGATAAGATTAAGTCTATATTCTCTTTTGTTCAGTGTTTCATTTGACAAATTCTTACCTAGCTCTTCAGAACCACTTTATGTTTACACATGTGACCTTACCTCCTCACCTCTGCTACCCCCTGGTTATGTAGTGGAGTTGTGGGGTTTTTTGGTCTTTGTTTTATGTGGATTTGAATGTGCCTGAAGACTTCTAGCATCGCTCAATCTGTGTTCATACTTGAAAAAGATCACCCATGCTACCTGCTGACCTTTGGGAAAGCTGTTACTAGTCTTCGTGGATTTCTATTGATATTGCACATGGAGCACTTTAAAAACAAACTGGAAGATGATCTCTCTTAGCTGGTATATTCTGTTATATCACACTAACTGCATAGACTCACCATGTTCTTAACAAGTGCAGACTTGGGAGATGAGAGTGTTGGTGGTAGGAAACATGCTGACAGCAAAAAGCAGTGACTGAGGTGAGATAACCTTCACAGTTTACATTTGAGCCAAAACAGAGGCTGGAAGGTTATAAATGCTTGGCTTTGGGGATAACACCATGCCTTACAATGTATGAATTAATGATTTCACTGTACTAAGTTTGGTATCTTCAATTTGTTGAGTTTATGGAAAAAAATAATTGAGACATACTGTTTAATTCTCTGCTTTATTTAAGTGGAAATAAGTCCTGGTTGTATGTACTTCATGATAGAATGATATCCGTGAATACAGTAAAGGGCAGTGCCCTCTGTTATATAATACCAGATTAAGGAACTGCAAGTCAATTATTGAATCATGGAAATGAACTCAGGTCATTCTGAAATTACAATTGATTCTTCTTGTCTTAACTTACAGGGTGACTCCCCTGCAGTTTTATATTTTGCAGAGAAAATAGCCAGAACCCTTCTCCTCTAAGGATTTTTAACATGCCAAAGATTTTCAAGAAAATGTATATTTGCATTTCAAAACTAATATATTAAAATTATCTACCTAAGGGATGAAAACCTGCTTTCCCCTTTGGGGAGACTTATCACTTATTACCTTCTGACCTGGAAACAGGGAGCCCTGTTTTTTCTCTCAGGATCAAGATAACCTTGAAATTGAGCTTAAGTTTGTGTGCCTTAGTTTCTCCGCTTGTAAACAGTTTCCTATAAATTTGTTCAAACACTATCCAGAATTTACCAAATATGCCATCTTTTACCTTACAGAAACAATGGTGTCTTAAATTTGATTTTTACCTTGTAGACACCTGTACTGTGGAAAGTGAAATAGTTGTGAGAAACTTTTTTTCTGTTAAGTTTTAGTTTGTTTTTCTGAACTTGTATCTGTGTTAGAAACTGTAGTTAATTTGTACAGTCTGGAGAGATTCCAACATTCCTTTCTCAGGAGAAGGATCACTTTCAATGGCAATACTTCTTCAAATACTTCCAGATGGGTGTGATGGCCAGTGGCTTGTCTGTATAGTGCTGTACTGAACGCATGTGACTTATATCCAGTTCCCAGGAGCTTATCTTATGTTTTAGGATTCTAAGTGGAAGCATGAAAAGTCTTTCAGGCTCCAATGTATTGGGAAACTTCCATGAAGTTTTTAGTGTTGATGACAAATGCTGTTGTTTAGGAATAACAGGTACTTTATTCTTTTACATTTGGCACCAGAGTCAAATATGTAGTTCACAGGTGCTCTATTTTCTGTTCCTTCCCGTTATTACAAATCTTTGTGTAACTGTCCATATCTGGGAGATGCACTGACAATACCTTCTTCCCTAGTTTCCAGTTTGTCTTCATTGTTGTGTTCCCGGCAAGGGCCAGGAAGCTCCTTTCGGGCAGGACTTATTCTGGGGCACCTGACATCTCCTCTAAGGATGTCTGTCCTCCTTTGAAAGATCAGTTTACAACTTTAAACATACTAATTCTGAGATGATTTTTTTTTTTAGTTTGCTTTACCAAGATAAATCTGTTTTCTTGGCTTAAGCTCTGAGACTGTGAAATTACTTTATAGAGATAACTTCTTAATGGTTAAAGTACTTACTGGGACTGGTGGGTAAAATGTCTTTAACATTATCTTAACAAATAAAACAAATTGCAACAATGTTGATTTTTCTGTATTTGTTTACACTTATAAAATTTAAAAAATAAAATCTGGGCCTTAATACTAAGATGGTTTACAGTGAACATTTATTTGGTAGAGAAAACTAGTTACTTCTGATTTTTCTCTGCTAAAGTGACTTCATTTATTGAGCAGGGACAGTTGTTGAACAAACTCCCACCATATACAGCAAAAGAAAATTCTTTCCTTTAATTGGGCAGGGAGTGCATGCTCACTGTTTTCATTAACAGTGTTGCTGGAAGATGCCAAAGCCTCAGAGGATTGTTGTTCCTCTTTCCATCCACACCTTCAAGTGACAAGTGTCAAAGGAATTGGAGGCACAACTGTAAGGTCACGTTGCTTTAAAAATAGAAAAACATGAGAAAGATCAGTTTCCCCTGAAGAACTTTCTCAATTCTTGTATGTATGTATATATGCTTTGTATATGTGGTATGCATCTAAGTGTGTTTGCAGTCAAAGGCTAGGTAGTCTTTATTACTTTTCATTTTGAGGGATCACCAATCCCACTAACTTGTCTGGCCAGCAAGCCCAAGAGATGTTCTTGTCTCTGCCTCCCTTGCATTAGGATTACAGGTGTACTGTTTTTACAGGAGTGCTGGGAATCTGAACTCCGGTCCTCAGGCTGTGCAGGAAGCACTTTACTGACTGAGACTTCTGAGTCCCTAAGATTTATACTCTTGAAAGGAAGTTTTGCTTTATAAACAATTGCAGTTTACATATAGAGCATCTTATGAGACTGACTCGGTTCTATAAGCATGGCCTGGACTTACCACGTCTTATTTACCAGGAGCACAACTCCCCATAGCCATTTATCTAACACTTAATGATTTTATGTTCTATAAATAATCCAGTGGCTACCGAGTGTAACAAGTGGGAAATCTGAATCCATAAATATGTGGCAATTTGAGTTTATACCCAGCTGGGATTCCACTAACTACAAAAAACATTGCCCTGGAAGGACATGTCCATTTGTGAAATAGTGGCACAAGCATCATGGAAGTAACCAACCACTTTTCTAGTTAGATTTAAGCCTTGTTCCACTAGATGAAACCCACACTTGGCCAAAACACTACGGTTAGACATGTCATAATTCTAACAGAGAACTTATTATGCTTGTAAATAGATTGAATATTAAACTCTCAACTCGGCTGAGAAAGCTTCTATATGCGATAAATTGTGACTAACTATTGCACATATCCTTCCAAGACTAGGGATCATTGAGGAAGAGAATGTGGAAAGATTCCAACAGCTAGAGACAGTAGATTGACAGAGCAGTGTAGCCATACCTATGAACTGTTGGGACAGCATGGACAAGATGTGCAAGCTCAAGCCAGATCAAATGCCAGCATGAAAAGGGAATTTGGGCACACAATCTCAATTCTAGCCATGGAGCAAATGATAAATGATAGACAGAAGTTTAGAGAAGAGTCAGTTTTCTGTCAGAATATATCTCATGATAAGTCAACCACCACACTCCAGTGGAAGGCATGCATCCAAGAATATTTGAGGCAGCAAATTGGTCTCTCCCTCTCTCTCTATATGTATTTATATGTATTTATCCTGTGTATTTATGCATGCGTGTGTAAACTTATGTGTGTGTGTGTGTGTGTGTGTGTGTGTGTGTGTGTGTGTATTAAAGGACACAAGGTTAGATACAAAGGAAAGAGGTGAATCTGGGAAGAGTTGGGGGGGTGAATATGAACAAAACTTGAAACTCTTAAAGAACTAATGTGACAAAAATGTATTTCAGGTAGCTTGAAAAAAGAAAATTAAAAGTTTGCTTTATTCAATCTCATGCAACAACTTCCATTTTCAAATTGATTAATAAAATATAAACTTTATTAATATGTTGCATTTCCTTAAAATATGAAAACAAGGCAAAAAGTTTAAAAACCAGTTTTACAGATGTACATGCTAACAATGGTTTAATACATTTGTAACTATATAAAATACATTATACAAAAGATTTATAGCTTTTGCATACATAAAATGAATTAAATAAAGCATTCATATATTTCTATGATCTAACAGTGCAATATGCACATACTTAGAAAAAATACTGATTTCCTGAGCAACAGAGTTGTAATTCAAAATCAGAAAGAGTCCCATGATAATGCAGTGTTTAAATAACTCAACTCTAATTCTAATACTCTGAGACTGGGTCTCCACTTATATTTCTAACCTCATCCTTCACATTTCCAGTAAGATATTAAAGAGGAGTAATCAGTTACTAAAGAGTGGTTGATTTGATGAACTTTCCACACCACCAAAAAGCATAGTCCAGAAAAAGGCTTTTAAGAATCAAACTCCACTGGAAAAGAAAATTTGAGATTGCACGTTCCTTCCTAATCCATAGAACTGCCAGCGGACCATAACTGTGTTTTGCTGAGAGGACAGTGAAGATATTTAAACAGCTATCCATTGATTCAAACCAAACTCAACCACACCTAACTAGTCTTTAACAAGTCAAGAATTTGTCCTAACAATATCAGGTTTTTCTTTACTTGCAATTCCAAATTTTTAAGTGAACTAGTATCAATGACTTGACTCAGTGCTCTTACGCTTATAACTGCAAACACACACAAATTAAAGCCTCAAAGCAAATTCAAGTAAGGGCTTGAACATGATCCATAGTATCAAACAATGACAATTGTACTTATGTTGTCTAGAATACAATGAAGTTTGCAGTTGCCAAAAATTTGCATACATTTGCAAATGTATATTAATATATTTTCCGAAATTCTATTAAATGCTTAAATTTTTTTCTTGTAAAGATGAAAGCATAATTCTACATATAGGATTATATTCAAGTAGTAATTCTAAAATATAAAGGAAAAGGAAATTGCTTGGTTGTTTCCTAAGGATGTGTTGTATTTCCTTCAAAAAGGATGTTCAAGACAAATGATTTTAACCAGCAAGTACACCCCGTCGTCCTTTAATCATAAGTTATCAAACCCTCCATTACAATTCCAAAGTAAAACCAGCAAAAAAGGGATCAGCAACTTTATAATTTCAAGTTTGATGTAAACAAAGTTTTTCTAAGGTTATGTACCCTGTGCTGCTGTCTTCATTTTCTACCCTAAAATTTCATTTTTCAGCAGGCTTCATAAATATTATGTAAAGTAGCTATGTTAACACTGAGCATAATTAAAGATCATACTCATTTTCAAAATGCATGTGGTATGTTAAAACAATTAAAAATTTATTTTAACTAAGATATACTAAGGGAATCAGTTTACTACAACTTTCCTATTAAAATACTTTAAAGGTAATTTTCTAAACCTCTTTGATATATGTAGGGGCTTTAAAATGACGGATTCCTTTGTCTTTTCTTAGGTGCTTTTTCTTCTCAAAGTATATAAAACCCCAAATATAATAAATATGTATTAATAATTCCTTGTATCAGGATTGGAATTTGATATACAAAATGTTTAAAAAGCTGAAACATTGTTTTAAGAAATAATGTCCAGAAAGTGAGGTGATATAACATATTTTAAGGTATGCAGTTTATCACACAGAAAACAAGCGGTCCAGATTTAGCCACCTGCACTTACATTTTAAAAATACACTTTAAAATTAAACGCTGAAATCCGCATATAAATGCTTCTTAGCCAAATTAGTAGACTTAGAAAATGCCACCACTAAGCCCTTTTGACTGATCTGCACAAGTGTGGCCTCTGCTTCTCAATTTGATGGTGCATATTAGGTGGCAGTAATCTAAATTGGAGAATTTTCTTTTTGAAAAGCAGAGGTCAAGGGGCCACCAAATAAAGCAATCTGCCTGCTGCTAATATAAAATTCTTCTTTACTCATTTTTGCTTAATCAATCATTATTTTCTCAAGACTTCAGAGGCAGATAGTACAAATTGGTTTACTCCACTAACTTATGCTTAAAAGTGAAGATAGACAAATTTACATAGCCTGTGGAATGATAGCCTATGGCAGGAAATCTGACAATGTTTCCACTTTAATTGTAAAGTGTGTATGAACTTACGTAAAGTGACATTGTAAGGCATTAAGTGTAATTAAGGCATGTTATTATTTATAACAGCAGTGATTAGTCACAGTATGTAAAGAGAAATTTTCTGTGTAACACTTCATCAAAGAATGACAAAGTGCTTCCAAGTATCAGATACAAGTATTTTTCTTTTTAATGATAAGTGGAAGTGAGGTTGGAGAGCCGGTCCTAAAGTATCCTCCTTCATGGACTAGGTCTTGACCTGGTTCAGTGTCCTTGTGATCAAATGGCAAGTTTCCAACACTAAGACATTATTCTGGGGTCTCAAAATATTTAATCAATTTGTTAGCCTCTATTATAGAAATTATAAATTATGTTTCCATATCTGTTTCTACATTTGTTTTCCTAGCATGTGTCAAAACATGTTTTTAAAGTTTCAAAATTGAGTGTTAAATACTTGGTATCATAAATAATTTTAGAATCAAACCTTTTAGAACAATGTTCTGGTGGTATGGTAGCGAATTTTCTTCAGCTATAAGCATTTGAAACACTTGACATGAACAACCTTGAATTAAAAAAATAATCTTTTAAAAAATAAATTTAAATGTAACTAATCTTGAATAAGAAAAATGAGAGCATCTTCTAAGTTAGAATTCCTAGACATACATTTAAATTAATTTCTGCTTTAAGAACTGATAGGGCAGATGAATTCTGACCAGTCTCAATATAAAAAGCAAATGTGTGTATTATAGATGATCCATTTGTAAAAGGCTTAGGGATTCCTAGGATGGTAAAAAACGAAGCATCTTCGATGTTCCTAGATTGACTTCGAAGCAGTTTTTTGAGGTCCCTGAAACCCCATATCCCATATGCATACTTGATCATCAACACTGACTAGAGCTCACTGCTACGTTTTGTGTTGAGCAGCAGGGGACTGAGAATCTTGCCTATATAGTCTGTGGTCATCTTGTTGACCAACATGTATTCCTTTTGTTGGAGCGATTCCATTTTCCATTTCTCTGTTCTGT